ATATAAAAAAATTTCAAATTGTCATTTTAAAATATTTTTATAAAAACATTTACCACATTTTTTTTCTAGTAGCTTATTTATTCAAGTCTTAAATTATAATGTAATCACACATTTATATATATAGGCTTTCATGCAATTGCTTGTTAATCATGTTATTAAGTTGACATCATAATAAACTTAAATCTAAATCAATAACTTGAAATTATAAATTTGCTGTAACAGATATTAAATAAAAAAAATATCAACCAAGAAGTTTCTAAAGGATAACATGCAAACAAAGAAACAATACACATCATGCACGTGTAAAACAGTATTCATGTATGTCTGATACCTTGTATTAATGATATTTGTGATGCATTAAAGAGTGGCTTGTGACAAAAATTCAAATGCTCTTCTAAAAAAAAATTGTGAAACCAAGCATCCATCAAACATTCATATGTTATTAAATGTAAAATCTGACATTATATATCAAGTGTACACCAACAATGTATTCTTCTTGCAAGAACTTACTCCTAGATGTATTAAAATGTGGAAAAAAGATAAATTACCTGTACAACATAGGACATAAAATGCCTCACCAAGCTATCTATGTAGAACATTCAGTTTTTCTGATGAAATAGACCTAATACTTTGTAGAGAAACTTGTTTTACTGTTCAGCTTCTGGTCTTTCATATCAATAGTGCAAAATCAATATTTTAAATTCTCCAGTAAGTGTACAGCACAAGAAATCTGACCTGCATTTTACAGATCTGGTTAGATTTACCATATGTTACATTTTAATATTAAAAAACTACAATGCTAATACCTGATACAATTAAGGATTATATCGTCCATAAATTTCTACAGATGCTTACCATAATTATACAAATATTTGAAGAACTTAAGAAAAAATTAATATTTTGAGTTTTTTTTTTAAGAGTAAACTAAGCTCATGTGAGGCATTCATTAGATCTTGAAGCCATCTTTGGCACTAGTAGACACTGATTCTGTAGCCATGTTATTTCAAATATGAATAGTTCATATATTTTACATCAAATAAGTTTGCCAGGTCACCTGTTGTTACATCACTTTGAGGTATCAACCCATGAGCATTATGGTAAACTCATGCAGTGATAGGTTAGATTTTGAGTGGCAGATAATGTATTAGTAGTCAACTTTATCTTTGCAGGGCTTTCTAACCTATGGGTCTATGAAGCTGTAAATGCAAAATATTTGTTTCTCCACTGCGTAAGTAATACTGCTTATGGTGGATGTTATAATTGTGCCATTCATTATAGGATACGTTCATAAGTTTTGTGTATATACTTCCTTTGAAAAAAAAGGGAACTTTTTTGGATCACTTTATTTACTTATGGTTGGTCGAGAAATAGTTAACAAAATATTTTTTTCTAAGCCTTATCACCTGGATTTGATGTATTTAATGTAGCTGTGTATATTGACAGTGTTTTGTTCTTGCTCCATAATTATCATCTGGATTTGTTAGACTTTATGTAGCTATATATGTTGACAGTATGCTGTTAATGCTTCATGATTATAAACTTGATTTAGTTATGTATGTTCACTGTATGGTGTTCATGCTCAATGATTATTATCTGGAATTGATAGACCTTGTGTAGCTGTGTATGTTGACAGTATGATATTAAAGAACTATTATTTTGGACTTGTGTATTTTATTATGTTTTGTTTGTTAACATTATATTTTTAATTCTTTATCTTTATCATTTGAACTTGGTAACCTTGAAGTAGCATTGTGTTGATAGTGTATTTTTCATATTTCTTGTTTTCATGTAGCTGGTTATGTTGAAAGTTTATTTATTTCTAACTTTTGTGGTTTTAACCTGATCATCATTGTTATATATATATATATATTAATATGGTTATTCAAGAAATATTAATAACACTATGGCCTAAAAAGATTTAGTAAAAAACTCTGTAGAAGGGCTTGAAAATCAGTACAGGAGTATAAAACAATTTTTATTTATTAATAAATGAATTTGAGATACATCTCATATTTGATTCCTTTATCTTGTACATCTTCATCTCTTAGCTTGGAATTGATTTCATATCTCATTCAAATATTTTATACAGTCTCACTTATTGTCTTGAGGTTTATTGAACATTAGAACCAACTTTTCCTGTTATCTTGGGATTTTTTATGCCATCTCATTTTAATGTTTTCTACATTCTTACAGTTTAATTTTACATGTAATCCAAACATTTAACACATCCTTTCTTATCAAATTTAAATTGATTTCTTATCTCGGTATAATATTTTACCCCTTCTGAACAAACAAACTCAAATGAACTGGACAACTTAGCCTGATATTTTGTTTTTCCTCTTGTCAAAAAGGGATTGATTTGACATATCAGTACAGTATTTTACCCCTTCTTAACTGATTTGACCATAAAGTCCATACATCACACATTCTTAAGTATTTGTTTAGAATGAATCTAATATATCTGTTTAATATTTTACACATCCCTACTTGTGAAGCATAAATTCATGTAAATTCTCAGCCTGAAAGTTTACCTATCCTATCCTGTAAACCTGGAATTGATCTGACATACAAATTTGATATTTCTACATACTTACCCTGTACCTGTGATTCAGAGGATTGATTTGACATGAAATCCTCACATTTACACATCCTTACCTATCAACTTGGGATTAATTTGATGTGATCTTATTGTTTTATAAGGGACTGATTTTTTTATATTTTAACTACATCTCACAATCTTGAAAGTGGTACCACATCTGAGCCCAATATTTTAACCTTTTCAAATTTTCAGTATTGCAGGTTTATTTTCAGTATAAAACACTGGTCAAAGGAATTACTAAGTTATTGTTGTCTTATCTATTCATGGAATTCCTTGGGTTGTCAAAGTCATTGCCTAACTGTTTCCTATAGAAGAAATCACTGTAGTAGAAACTATGATATGAATAGAAGCAGTGATCTGTTCTAGCAGTGAACCATAAGATTGCCTGAGGGTATTTCTTACCCCTCGTTGGCATGAAAGTGGTCCTCAGTCATGTGGATAGTGAATGTGCCCAAAGGAAAAATAACTATATATATAATCTAATGTTTTCCTTTATTTATCTGATCCTACTACAATTTTAGACAGACTTTGAAATATTTCTGAGATTTAGCACACATTTGGAGATTTTGCAGAAATTACAAGAATTTTGATATAATATTCTTAGAGATTCTTTGTTTAACTACCATTTGTCTTTAAACACATGTACTGTGTTATCACAACCTTCAATCACTAGAAATAATCAGGTAGGCAGTAGCACTGTCTATGTAGGGATGGCTTAGATTGTTCCTTGAAATGGTATTTTAAATATCTCTTCAAGGTCATCAGAACTTTATAATACTATACACTGTTTCCTTTTATAATATCAGTGGAATGACTGTGTTACAAGTTCTGGGAATGTCTGTAAATGTCATAGCAAAAAGTTTGAATTTCTTGTTTTTTGTTCGTTTTTTGTTTTTGATTACATGATAACTCAAAAATCAAAACAATGGTGTCAACCAAATTCACTGAGGTGACATAGTTTCAAATGGACTATCTGCTTTTGTAAGTATTATTAATACCTAGTAGTAATTTAAAAACAAAACATAATTTAAGTGTAAATGATGTTATCATTACCCCTTGAAGTTAGCTTTCTTGCAGAAATTTTGTATTCCTTTAAAAAGCTTAAGTCCAGAGTGAAACAGGAATTACCAGCCAATAATGGATAAACAATAAATAATACAGTTATAACCTCATTGTATTTAGAACTTGGTTATTAGTACAACCTTCCTGTGTCTATTGAAACATTGCATTAAAAAGAAACAAGTAAAGAACAAACCTTTCAAAAAATGAAGTAAATGTAGGGTGGTTAATATCAATCCTTCAAAAACAATGCAAACATGATAGTAGAGATGGCATTTGCATCGTTCCTACATAATAGCACAGGCACACAGTGTAGTAGAATGTTAACAGACACGAATAGGATACATTAAACTCAGTTGTGATTGAATAGTTATACATATTGCTATATGTTAATTCTTGCCTGGCTATTATGTAGGGATGATGCAAATGCCATCCCTACTATTTTGTTTGCATTGTTTTTGAAGGATTGATATTAGCCATCCCTACATTTACTTCCTTTTTGAAAAGTTATTTGTTACTTGTAGAATTAGGGGTACACTGGGGAGAAATAATCAACAAAGCTCTCCCTCTTTCTAGCCGACACATGAGCACTTTTCCATGTGCTTAAATTTGACTTTATTTTGTATAATAAAATTGTTTACACACTGTGTCAGTTTTCTTTCTTTTCCCAAGATTGAGTCATAGACAGAGAAAATATGGCACTGTTGTATAAAATGGTATCTGTAGAATCCTGCTGGCTGCTCCAAGAGAAATCAAAACAATCTGAGAATATCACAGGTTTCTTACCTGTTAATTTGAAATTGATTTGACTTCTGATCCCAATATAGTACACACCCTTACATACTAACTTGAGATTGGTTTAACATTTCATCCATACCTTTCAACTTAGAATTGATTTCACATCTCTCTTTGACAATTTACATATTCTTATGTCTCATCAGACTGAGTTGATTTTACATGTGATATTTTATAGCTTCTTAACTCTCAGTTTGTGAATAATTTGATATCTTTGACTTATATATTACATGTACTAGCCTATCAACTTTTGATTGATTTGAACATCTTAGCTTGATATTTACACATACATGTGAACAAGGTATTGATTTGATATGTGATCCTAATATTTTACATATTTTAGCAAATAAACTTGATTTGTCTATCATAAAGCTTGAAGTACAGATTATTACCTTTTTCATCACTCGTTTTTTGTGTATTTATTAAGTGTTTTATACCCTTAACTTTAAGACTATAGGAAAATATCACATCTAACTATTAACCTCAATGGAGAAAATGTAAAAGATTATTTAAATATTGTATCACTAAAGCTGATTTTCCATTACAGACTGGGCCATTTGTACTGAAGTCGCCTACTATGTCTACTTACAGCCAACAGCTTTGGGTTATAGCACAAATCGTAACTGAAAATGATGATAGTAAGTGTTTAGCTAAGTTCTTTTAGTGCATAATGTGATTTTTCAGTTTACTAAAAATTTATGAAGATTGTGTAGGTGTTTTTTAGTGTTATTTCATAAATCATGACTAAAATACACGTCAAATTTTGATGGCTATTTCATGAAAATATTTAATATGAAAGAAAATAAGGTTCTGTTAAGACTGTATACTTGCTTTAGTTTGCTGTGTTTTGTTTTAATAATTTGAAAATCTTTTAACCTGAGTTATATACATAGGTATTTTAAAACAAAATGCTACTTACCTCTCCACAAAACAGAAAGCTAGTACCTCCTATGTTTTGTGTAGTGCCAAGCTTATGAACAAAACTTCCAACTATATGCATAATAATACAGTAGAACCTATATTATTGACCGTCTTTCAAGAAAAGGCAACTCTCAACAGAGTTCAGTAATTTTTCATCAAATGTTTTTTTGTGTCCACTTTTTCTTTCAAAAATTTTGTTATTCAGACCAACTACTTTCCCATTCTGAACAGCCACCATGAATATATAGTCCTGTGAGTGAAAAACAACCTCTATAAAGACACCATTGGGGAATTACTGTTATCTTTCACTCTCTGGTTAATTATCTTTAACCCTCACCAGATGAGTCACGGGTCAAAGGCCATGTCATCACATTTGTTGACTCACATTCAAAATTTTATTGAACTACTATTTCTTGAATTTATATCAATAAGTTTGGTATCACACTGTAGATTATAATTCAAATTTTAGTATTATGCATGATTTAATTTCTTAATTTAACATTAAACATTAAAAACACAGTTAAACATTGATTTTTCTGTATCACTTGATATGTTAATGCATCACTGGTTCAAAGTAGATGTTTCTGATGTCAAAATACTAAGTTTATGGTTTCGTACAAATTAGGAACTCAAATTACCGATATTGACAAACTAGAATACGAAACAAGAACCTCATAGCTTTTCAATTTGTTGAGATATGACTCATGTACTGAATCAAACACAAGTGGCCCTGCTCACCTCTTTCCATTTTTGGAAATGGTCCTTTATATACACTTACTTCAATATATCACATGTGACCAAGGGACCAAGCCTGTGCTGAAAGAGATAATGATTGGCTGACTTACCTTCTTGGGGCTTCTTTCCTTGATTTTTTTGTACACAACAAACATCTTGAGAACCCTCTTTCTTATTGGTTGATTTACTGGGTTTAAAGTATAAACCTGAGATGGCCCATGTGTAGAAGGGTTGTAGAATTATCCTCTTTCTCTAAAGTTCTTGTTTCAATAAATTATGGTGGGTATATAAACCAGATCTGTGAAATTTTGTAATATTTTTGTCTCATTAAGCTATTATCACACCACCAGTGTACAGGCTAATTTTATTTCTGTTGGTTCTGTTTATTTTCCACAAAAAATATCTTCCTTTATGGCATGTTTGTGTGGAACTTTGAGTGGGGGGACAAAATTGCTCTAATCAAGACAGCTGAAAAAGAGAAACTCAGCATAAACTTGTAGAATGTTTCAGAATTGGGAGAACTCAAGTTCAAACCATTTTGAAATGGAAAGCAGATCACATGCATACATTAGAAGAAAAGGAGAACCTGGAATACAAGTGCATTTGCAATGTCCATGTTGATAATCAATAGAAAATTGATGTCCCTACATGGTAGTGGTTTAAGAGAGTCAGAGAAATCAGTGTGCTGGTTAATGGTCTGAATCTTCAAAGAGTCTGGTCCAATATGGTCAAGTGTTTAGTGTGCTTGACTAGCAATCTGAAGGTCGTGGATTCGATTCCCTGTACCACCAAACATGCTCGCCTTTTCAGTCATGGGGGCATTATAATGTGAAGGTCAATCCCACTATTTGTTAGTAAAAGAGTAGCCCAAGAGTTGGTAGTGGATAGTGATGACTAGCTACCTGCTCTCTAGTCTTACACTGCTAAATTAGGGATCGCTAGTGCAGATAGCTTTCGTGTAGCTTTGCACAAAATTCAAAACAAACCAAAGCTTCAGAGAGTCATTCTTCAGTTTGCCACAAAAGTTGGTGTCAAACAAGAGGATTTCAGAGATTTAAATGAATGTTTTCAAAATTGCAAGGCAGACAAAATATTTTCAGTGCAGTCCTTTCTGGCAAAAAGGCCAGCATCATTGATGATTGAAAATCGAAACTTCAAGACAACGTTGATGATTAAAACCCACGAGACATGTTTAATGTGATAAGGTGTAAGGTGGTCCTTATTTGTAGGTAAAATTTCAGGTTAAAAATTCTTTATCTCTCACCCCCTAATTTTGTTCCAGTGTACAAAGGAACATTAAAGGTCAAACTTCTTTCATTTTGGACTATATTTAGAGGCTGTTCAATGAGGTTCTTGATATCAGTAGCCTAGTACTGGATGTACTATGTGATATAAAACCTATTTGTTATTATAAATGATTTATTTAAAGCATGTTATTATTTTATTGCATGTACAATAATATAATTACATAATTTTAAAATTTTGATGTGGTTAGTCACTCTTGCATTGTTATTGTTTCCTTTTTGCTCTTAGTAAATCATCTTCTATGATCTTGCACAACTTGAAGGAGGACTTGTTTTTGTTCATCTTTCTTTGTTATGATGGCATTAAACTCCTCAATAAGGGCCACTCCACTTTCAGCATTGTCATCTGTAGTGTCTTCCTGTAGTCCTCTCTGGGCTCCCATGACTTGGGGCCATAATCCATAAATCCAGATGGAATTTTGAGGCACCTAAAGAAGTTTATTGCATTCTTTGTGACAAAATCTTCAAGTGATATGTCCTTAGATTTCCTGATATTTAGCTGGATGCACTTTGTAGGTTCATCCATGCCTTCTTTCTTTCTCATTTAGTGTCTTTATTGTTGCTTGTTTTGTCTCTGTGGATACAGCTGAATAATGACAAACCAATGAGTTCATCATTGAGATACCATAGATGTCCAGGAAATTTTTGACAGGCAGATTTTGAAAGATTAAATTTCACCTTCATATACCTAATAAGACATTCTAGGAAGTTGAGATCATTGGGAGGAGCAGAATGGCATCAGGAGCAGTGAATCATGCCCTAAGACTCAAACAACAAAGATGGAGATGTCACAAATAAAGATTTACAAGTACATATGAAAAAAACAACAAAATAAGGATGAATGAGAATACAAATGTACTTCTTTATTTATTCATAATACATGTATGCATAGAGTATTAAGAAATGGAAAGAAAAGGGGCTCAAAAAAGATGGCTTATTGAAATCATGAGTTGAAAAGAAACATCTGTAAGTGGTACCAATGAAGGAAGGTGGGAATCATGTTTGTTAGGTGATCTGTTTCTAGTTTATACAATCAAACCACCTCCTAAAAGAGACCATTTGAGCTCAGTCCCAAGGGTGGTCACAATATATGTATTGCACCAGTCTACGAAGCAATCAGCATAAGCTTAAACTCATTTACCAGTAACAGGATGGCTCATCCTCCATGCATAATACTCCCCTTATGCACCTTTAGTTAATATTCAGAGTTATCTTTCTTTCTTTCATTTTCTTAACTTTGAGAAAGAAAGATGCAAATTTTAAAATTGATTTCAGTGACAGTTTCTGATGTAAGTTATCTTTCCGTATGTTAGTATGATTTCTTTTTTAAATCAAACTATGAGATGTTGGAACATATATTTCAGTGTGTTCCAGAGTCTGTGATGCAGTTTCTTTCACAGGAATATTCCCCACTGTTATTACTTGATGTTGGGGTTTCAGAAGAAGCAAATAACAAGTTTCAATTTCATTAATACAAAAAGGACCTAGGCCTAAATATCACAGATATACCAGACCTGTTGAAGAATAAATAAATAAGAAACAAATAATTATAGAAATAATAATTATATTTATACTTTTCATGAATCCAGTTTCATGGATTTTATTGAACATGACTTCTCATTCTGAAACCTCTCAAGATCTCTACTTCCTTCCACAGGAGTTGTCCTATTTTCTTAAATGGTAACTGGAGCTACTCTATCACTAAGCAATTTTATTGCTACTGTAGGTCACATGTTTGGCTCTATCCTAAATTCTTACTCTCAGACCCAAGACTTTTGGCCTTCTGCTTCTGTAAATTTCTGCTGAGCCTGCCTTGACTTCAAAGATTTTAAATTGTTCTTTACACAATCTACTTTTTCATTGGATTCTTCCATTTCTGACCTGGATCAGGTAACACCCATCTTTGTTGTTTGCTGCTGTGATAATGTAACTATGTGACATTTATTCTCTTACTCTAGTTGTTTCCGTTGGTTCTCAGGTGAGCTTTTTGCATGCATTTCAACTCTTAATATTTTTTACCCTCTTCAATCCTTACCTGCTTGTTGCATGTTGGATGTACAAGACTGTTTAGTGTAAGTTATTTTTATGATGATTTAATGATTTAATATTTAAATATTATTTAGTCTTTATAACAAGAGTATTAAAGCTGATTATTTTAAAAATTGATAGTTGTAACAAATGTTGTTACATAACTCAGTAAGAGCTGTATGTTGTGTGTGTAGTTCAATTGTTGTAGTATTGTTGATGTCATCTTTCTCGACACCTCTAAGTTTTTCTCGTTATATGAGTATTGTTACATCATAGTGTCTCGTAGTTTGTAGAAAGTTCGAGGCCTGAGTTAGGCAATGTATATATATATATATATATATATATATATATATATATAGGTGACAAAATGAGCACAAGTAAAGAGAAGTTCAGTCATAAAAAAAGTTAGAATACGTGATGTTAGTTGGTGTGTGAATGATTAACCTTGATGGGTGATATCTTAAAGTGAGTTTCGCAGTTTAACAGAGATAAGGGGTTAATTTGTCTTGTCAAAGGGTGTTCTAAATTAATTGAACCTGCCTGTGCGAAAAGGAGACAATTATTTAAAGTTCAGGATATAACTGTGTTAACCCACAGGCTAACATAAGTGAATTATTTACTGATACTATTGTGATAAGAGTAGAGAAAAATAATTCATCTTGTCAATTGGATTCTAAAGTAATTGAATTAGCCTGTGTGGACTTTTGACAAGGAAAGAGACAGTGAAAGGCAGTAGAAGCTGATATGTTGTGGATGTAAGCACTCACCTTCGTACCCTTATTTGATTGATGATTTTTTTTTTCCCATGATGGCTGACTAGATTGACATCGACGTTTGGATATTGTCTGATAGATGGGATATCCCCAATGCACTTGGGTACTATTACCAGAGACACTAACCATTATGACAATAATTTGACAACCAGGAGCAATAACAGTATTGCCTTATTTAATTCATTATTGCTTTATAGTGCTGATTTAATCACCTGTAGATAGATAGACACACTGTGGAGACAATGGAACCCACCATATGGCTGGTGTTGCTTGCCTCACATAGAATACTTCTCTCTCCTGAAACCCACCTCAGGTAGGGAATAACAGAGAGTGTTAAACCTATCTGCCCCTGCTCAGTGACCACTATTGAGATGGGGGTTTCTGCAAAACTTCTTTGGAAGTTTATATATTTGTCTTCTAAACTGTGCCGCTACTTCAAAAACATAAAAGAACAGCACTGGGTACAGTTCTCTGCCTTCACACCAGATCAGCTCCTGCTGTCCCTATTTGTGGTACCCATTGCACAGTTGCTCAGTGTAGGAACTTCTGCAGATGATATATTATTCCTATTTGGTTCATGCATCTCTCTGATGTTCTTCCCTACTCCCTTCAAGAATTCCCCTCTACCATTATCCTCTATCCTCTAGTGGAGTTGGAGATCCCTTGCTTCCCCAATATCAAGCTACTGGAGAGGTTAGTATGGAGGGTTTCCCTTCTGATCATTGTAACCTCATTTCTATGAGACGAAGTTGACACCTTTTTTTATCAGAAGTAGATCAAGGTCTACCTGGATGCATAGTACAGGCATGTACTAGACATCTACACCATGTACTGGACCATTAATGGTGGTTGTAAACATGCAAGATTGGTCTTGTGTTCTCCTTGGGATGCAGGTCTGGAATGATTCATCCCTGCATCTGCTTATTCTGATAAGTATAACATGTAAATTTTTCTCAAACACTGTACACACTACATGTACATGATCTGCTGACCCCCTGAAATATACAAGTTGGTTTAGTAGCCTTTATATTCTAACCAGCTTTGCAACACTTTAGCACTATGCAGAAGGTTCTTTTTGACAATACTTTTCTGCATTATTGGGAAAAGAGTATTTCCTGCTTGAGATGTATGCCATTTCTCATCAAGTGATGGTTCCTCTAGCTCCTCCCACCATTCCCCATAGTGGATGACACAGTCCATGAGTTTTTTAGTTCTGTCACTATATTCCCAGAAAAGAACTTATTGTTTTAATTTCTTTACATACACTGGTCCCTCCACCACCTTATCAATGTAGGGTTCTAGCTATTTGTTCTGTTTGTGTTTCTGAAGTTAATATTTTCCTGAAAATATATTTCAGATAGACACTTATCTCTCCACAGAACCATTCACCCTTCCTTCCTACTTATGGTATGTTTGTTTTGCTTCAATAAGAATGAGCTTTTGGTATAAAAAGGTGCTCAAGGGGAGTAATGTGCATGGAGAATGTGTTACCCTCCTGTTGGTGGAGGGGTATAGTCTAATGCTGAATGTATAATAGATTAGTGCAGTACACATTATTATGTGCAGGAGTGGGATTTTTCTTTCATAGGCTTTGCATATATGTAAAACCTTTTCAGCAGTGGTGTGAAGTATTAGCTATTTGTTCTGTGGAGAGGTGAATATCTATCTAAAATACATTTTCAGGTAGGGAAAATGTTAAGTTTTGCAGTAAAGTGTAGTTGATCATATAAACCCATTATTGTCCAGTGAGCATGTATTAACAGTGTGAAAATGTTTTGAACTTTAATATTCTGGAAAAATGTAGTATTTATTTGTATGTGCAAACTTGTTTCCTGTTATATGTAATTATTTTTATTCACATATTTGTTTCTTTTTAGTGTTTTTAAGATATATTGGCTTTAGAATACATCTATGTAGATGGATAAATCTTTGATTTTCTTTTCTTAAACTCAGATGAAACTTTCTATAAACCATTCCGTCTGGGAGTTACCCTCCATGGTGTTTCAAACCAAAACAAACCCATGGTAGTACTTGATGAAAGCCACAGTCATGATAGAGTTAGGAAGTTGTATTGTGCTTCAAAGGTAGGTGCTTCATGAAATACACAGTTACACTAGAGATAGTGAGTCTGTTGTGCTATAAAAACAGATGCTGGAGATTTCACGTGTTCCAACAAAAACCATTGAGTTCATTTCTGTATGATTTTATTTTTTAGTTTGTAATGATTTTAAATGGAAAAGAGCATTGAAACCAGGATGTAGACATAGTCGTCACATAACAAAAGAACCTATTACCTGTATACTCTATTCATCAGTAATTTCTTGAGAATCATTTGTAGGTAAGTTTGGATAGTCACATTGAATAACAGTTTTAAGTCAGTGCTATGAGATACTGTACAGAATGGACTAGGAATTAGAAATATTTGTAATTTTCAAACTCTGAACAGTATAAAAATTACCATTGATTTAAAAGAAGTATAATAATTATCAAGGAAGAAAGAATACAATTACTGGATCCTCACATCCTTGTTTTCTTTAAAGCTTGCACCTTTAAGCTGTGTAATACAGCTAAGTTCTGTTGATTTTTTTATGTTTTAGATAAGCAATTATCAAACTTTTGAATATATAAATATTGCTTATCATTAACTCAACTCACTATATTAAAAGTGTTACTACTTTATGTGATATTTGATGAATTCTGAACTTTCCCAGGAATATGTTTTTTTATATTGGTTGATGAGAGTCTCCTAGTTGTAGAGCCTTCATATTCCTCCACATGTAAAAGATTTAAAAATTTTAGAGAACAGATGATCTAATATTTTTAAGTACTAACTCTCTCATTACGAAGTCGGTCAAATTGACCGACCTTGTAACCATTTTGCACTTGTTATAGTTTCCATACTATAACTTTTAATACACCTTATGTATCTTTGGAAAATTTTCCAAACCTTATAAGTCTTTAGTATACAAAAATCAAATTTTTTTAATGAAGTATCTTTACTAAATATTTGTCCATAAATATATATAGTATTTTTATATACTAGTCTGAGTGCTAAGTGATTTTCATGTTAAAATTAAAAATACTTCATCTAATTCAGATTTTATTTTTGTAATCTCTAAAACTTCCTAAATAAATTTCAAACGTTTTTTAGAAAAACTTCTTGTTTTATTTGTTATTTTCTCTACCCTAACTGAAGATACATAAAATGTATTAAAAGTTATAATATAGAAACTATAATGAGTACAAAAAGGTTATGATGTCAGTCAATTTGACTGACCTTGTAGCAAGAGAGTTAAAAGCTTAAGGACAGGGTGAAACAGGAATTCCCAGCCTATAATAGAAGAACATTAAATGACTAACATGTAGAATACTCGATGCTTTGTACACTATACTATGGGTGTATTTTAGGGAGACAACCCCTATATTATGTATGAGATGAAGGATGATTTCTAATCTTCAACAAAATCTTTGCCATCAGCTTCCATTAAGGGCCTAATCCCCATTCTAATATTTCTTACCTTTAATGTGCTTGTAAGAAACCTTGTTCATTTTAATATTATTGGCCAGCTGTTTCTTTTAAGCTATTTTCAATTTCCTAATTTTCTTTTCTAACCAAACCCTTAGATTTCTTACAGTTATGTAAACCTTCCAATATAATGGTCAATTTAAACTTCTTAAAGTTACAACATATATTTTGTTGCATAGTCTCAATAAGAATTGGCTTTCTGAAAATTATGAATGAAATTATATCCTGTCTTATCTCAACATGTAACACAACATCAAACCTATTTATATAATGATCATTCTTCCACAAATATTCCACTACTTCAACTCTTGGAACCATATATTTATTAGTAGTTAATAATAAATCTAAAATAGCATCCTTTATGGTTGACTCTGTGACCATTTGGTGTAGACATTCATCCTGAGTGACTTCAAGAAATCTCTCTCACTCACTAGTGGACTACATATCTTCCTAATTAATATGTTTACAATTAGTGTCCCATAATTATTATATTAGTATTCTTATTAGTAACAACCCTGATCTCACTATAGTTTCTCATTGACCTCATCCATCTTATCAGGTGTCTTATAGTATTTATCAATTAAAATTTTCTGCCCGTGAAAGCTATGATTGTAACCCATATAGATTCAGTTTCTTCACTCATTTGTTGTCTTCAATCCTAACAGCTGTTGTTCAACCCTTATACAAAAAGCCACCTCACCCTCTTTTAATAAGTCTATCATTATCAAATAACTTATAACCTGGAATTTCAAATATAATTTCTGTTATTAATGTTATCCAAACCTAACCAAGTTTCAGAAATTCTAAGTATATCATAGCTTTCTCTTTCAATTGGAGCTCTGAACTTCTAACATTAGAGTAATAGCAATTAAACATAATCTTGAATCTACTACATTTATCTTTATCATATCAGTTTATTTATTCCAAATTTCCCAAGCTTCCGCACTACTAAGCATGTCTAGTTTAAACTATCATAATGAATATGTTAAAAGCTTCCCTGAATATCCTACTACCTTACCTGCTTAAGTGAGTCCATATAATTCATCTGAACCCAGAAAACTATTTCATAGATTCAACTAGTACACTTGTTGCTCTAAGCATATCCCTTATAATATTTCATTTAAACCTTGGATCCTGCTAAGTAATTCATTCCTGCTTCTAGCAGAGAAATCACTCCTGAAAAAGCCACAAATCTTTCTATTCCTAAACTCTGAAGGAATTCTTTATACTTATCAAGTAGCTTTCCTGTTTTACAAGTTTCAATATCCTTTGCTCCTACATGTACTACAAACAGAGAATGTTCTTTAGTACTAGCAACTAAAACTCAATAGTGTCCCATACTTTAGCACCTGGAAAGCATATTCTAGTTTTAGTTTTTCTATACTTCCTACCAAAATACATAATACTATATTAACCCTTTTCGAAATGGGTCACAGGTGAAAGGCCATGTCATCTCATTTGTTGACTCTCATTCAGAATTTTATTGAATACTATTTCATGAATTTATGTCAATAAGTTTGGTATCAAACTGTAGATAATAAATCAAATTTTAGAACTATACATTACTTAATTTGTTAATTTAAAAGTAAATATTAAAAAACACATCAATTTTTGTGTGTCACGTGGTATGTTGAATGCAGCACTGATTCAGAGTAGATGTTTTTGAAGTCAAAATACTAAGTCTGTAGTTTCATACGAATTAGAAACTCAAATTACAGATATTGAAAAGCTAGAATATAAAATAAGAAGGTCTTATCTTTTCTATTTGCTAAGATATTGCTCATATAATAAATCACACACAGTGGCACCCCACTCACATCTTTCCATTTTTGGAAATGCTCCCTTGTATGCACTTACTTCTGTATATGACATGAATAACCAACCGGAAGCTCAGAATGTCCCCTTAGTGTTTTTTTTCAGCATTTCTAACATACCTAGCACCATATTCTTTCTTTTGAACCAATATTTCAATTAAGTAGGTTGTATTTTTAGTCTGCTCGAAAGTTCATATTTTTTTAGACCCAAATACAGCTTAGTTACTAAGTTTGATAAGTTATAGTAGAATTCTGTAGTATTGATGTAGTAATTTATGATTTTTTAGTTATTCAAAAGTATATATAAAACATAAAAAAATATTTTGCTTCATGTCCTCCACGTGCAAAATTTTTAAAGGTTTAGCAACCGAGTACAAAGGTCGTAACTAGAAGAGATAATTGTTTGCTTTACTTCTTTATTTACTGTTCTGTGTTTTAGAAAAAAATACTTTAAGAACTTATTTCAAAATAGCAGTAATCTATATACATATATAATGTATAATAATTGAAATGTGACTATTTT